TGTATATAGTATAAATATCTTATATCTTTCTTTACATGTAAAAAGATGTCAGTCAGAATTCAACTGCTGGGCTCTTTACAAGGAAATACAAGATTAATAACGTTATCCTTGGAAAATAGTCTGAAAGCATTTCTGAGGGGAAAACATATTGTAGATTTTTCAACTGTAGAATAATGGTCTCCATAAACATTTTCCATACCACCCCATACTATACCAAGTTCAAAGATTCATCCCGAGTAAACACTAGAGCACCACTATCCCCACCGCGTGCGAAGTAATCTTCGTCAAAAGCAGAGACAAGGAATGCCTCACTTGTTTCTCCAAATAATTCAGAGTAACTTTCTGGACTTAAAACTATCCTTGAAGTCCAGCCTGTTCTTGCCCCTTTTTGGTGTACAGTTATATTTATATAATAGTGTTGTATTATGCATGTACTATGCCTAAATAGTAGGCAGGGTTTGACACATGGTGCGACTAATTAAGATTAATATTTCAAAAGGAAGTACTCTTGGAAATTCCCAGAAATGATTTTAAAAGAGATAAAAATCGAAGGTACTTTTTCTTCGAAACTTAAAAAGATATATTTTTGTTTCAGTTAATTGCACACAATTTAGATTTCAAATAAAATAAATTTAACGCTGCATAAATAGACGAAGAATGGGTTAATATGATACATGTACGGGTTGGGCTAACTGAGTGCTTTTCCAATCTATGTATATTTAATCATTGTTATGACATGATTTACGGAACAGGAAATAAAATCAACCATTTAAAATAATGAAAAGAAGGAAAAAAGTAAATTTAGACCTGTTTTTGTTTTCCTTTTTTTTTAGAATTCATTTATAAATTACCACATGAGATAACGATAATCATTAACATAACGCTTTGTATTTGATACTAGCTATATCGATGAGTGGGTATATCAATTTTATATTTTGATATATAAAAGATTTTTTTTCAGTTAGCCTAGCATTTGGGCGTTATAATTCGCATCATGGTGCTCGAGGGGCCTTGAGATTCGGGGCGCATTAAATCTTAGAAGAAAACATATGTAGCGACACATTCGCCAAGTACAATGTACATATTAAAAAAATATTACTGTGCTTTTTTATGGCATGAATTGAGGCCTATAGGATATTTTAGAACTGTTATTCAATTATACATGTACAGCCGACGGACACTTTAGTATACTAACTTACAAGTGCATACGATGTACAAACAGCATAAGCAAAAGCGACATCTTTAACTAAAATTTATTCTTTGTTTTCAAAATATATTATTTATTTTTATAGGTATTTATATAGTTTACTATGTCCAGTTAAAGGACTTAGAAGAAAATCTCATTCTGTGTAAATTAAGCGTCATTAGTATCGAATCAGGAACACTGCGTCGGTAGAATATCTTTATTCGTATGCTAACTTTTGTAAAATTCATATTGATCACAGGTGACAACCAACATTATTTTAATAGTGTAACTAAGATATATAATGATGAACTTATATGCGAAAACCAAAAGTGGTTGTTGCTTGTGAAAGGGTCTAATTTCAGCAAAGATTACTCATTTTCCAACATAATTGAACGATTTTACACAACCATTCGATGTTAAGCGCGTAATAGTGACGTCATAGTTAAAAAATACGTCATGTTTGTACCTGTAGAATTTAGTTCTTGTCTTCCTTACTTCAATGCATAACATCAACAAACGATATAAAAGAAGACTAAAATATCGTATTCCGTACTATGTTCTTTAATTATTGTAGAATTCTTAAGCCCTACATGGTAGGTTACTGCAATGTTGTAAGAACTAATAATTGGATAAATAGTCGAAACTTTCCCTTGGACATCACAATGTTAAATGCAGGTTTTATGAATTCAAGACATTTGCTTGGCTTTAAATATGATGTTATAATGCACGTGCGTCAAAACTGTCTTCCAAATCGAAAATAGTTCATGGAGATCTTGATAATTGAGTGTACAGAATGTCTACTAAAGCAAGTTATTATTTTTGGATTTGAAGCTTATGTCAACTCAGCCAACAACCCCCCCCCCCCCCCCCGACCTAACTGACAACAATATGGGAGCTAACTCTTGAAATGTTTATGCCTAATGATGACCCGGTCCTTATAATCTTGATAGGCTTTGAAAAGAAAATGAGCTTTTATTTGTTGTGGCCCTCTTAGATATTTTTAATGTTGAAAAATTATCCAAAAAGGGAATGCTAAATGGGACATCCAATGGGTAAAAACTTGTCAAAATAGTATTAATTCTTAAATCTTAATCCTTACTTCATCCCCAAGGGTATATTAATGGTAACTACGATGCACTTTTAATATCAACATTCCCAAACTGTACTTTCTGACTTATCATATGGTTCATAATTTGGAAATTACCTTAAAAGCAGATAGCAATTTTTTAATCTAAACAAAGATTATCCAACCTGTATTATTTATCCCATAAATGAATACCTGTAATATTTTATTTGCTACAGAGACAGGTCCACTAAACAAAAAATGATCTAGACCCCACTTAAATTTATACAAATATTCATGAATGATCATGGTTTCCTCACATAAACCCCTTTCAAAATTAAATGCATGCTATTTGTTTATCCCTTGTCACATTTACGGTGTTGTATTGATTATTTGTCTTGTTTGTATTTTAAATTTACTGTGATATTTGTTCTAACGTTGTTCCGTAGTTTCTTTCAGTTTTCCCATTCTGGACCCCTTCGAACACCCTCTTTGGTACCTCTACATTACCTGTATTTATATACCTGAGTTTAGGCTTCCGCCCTTCTTAAAAACCGGCTTTCGAGATATAACAGCACGAGTTCTGACTGACCACTTTTTACTGCCAAAGTTTTGTAAAGTTAAAGTTAAAGTACTGAGTATATTTTAAAGAGTTATTACAGACACTGACTTCTGAGGTGAGTAACATGTTTATTTACATTTTCTTCTCTGTTTTGTTAATTAAACGGTCCTGGGATAACTTTGTTATTTCAAAGTATTTTAATTTTAGTTTATTCGTTTGAATGTTCGTTCGTATGTATAGTTTGTATATTCTATAAATATCATAGTGAGTAGTGTTAATTGAAAGTATCGGCTCTAGTATTGTCGTATTTAGTTTCATTATGATTCTAAACAGTAAAGTAACTATGTAAGTAAAGTTACTGTGTGTAAGTGTAAGTTACATGTAAAATAATGTAATTGTTGTGTAAAAGCATTTAATACAAGTTCTGTAATGCAGCGCTGTGATGTTGACCCCATTATTATTCCATGTTCGTGTATGGTGGGTTATGTGGGTAATAACTTGTATGTAGCTTTGAGTATTCAACTGTGTAACTTAATGTGTTTACAATTGTTGTATTATGTAGGTCCCGTTGGACGTTCTACGTCGTTTTGTGTATGGTGTCAGTGTATGGTGCACAGAGTATGGTGTGATGTAGAAACTTACCGTTGTGTGGACAGACAAGAGCCAGAATACTATGTACAATAAGTTGTCTATATAAATGTGAAAACGTTTTTTTGAGTTTTTCATTATTTGGAGATTACTAGGGAAAGAACCCGCAACAAATGGTGTCAGAAGTGGGATTTCTTCAACATGTAGGATCAAAGGAAAACAACAAGCACAATAATGTCGACGATTGGTATCAAGACGACATGTGGAATCTCTTGGACTTGTGATGTCTGGTACACGTGGTATGTCTAGGATCTCTGGAGCATTGTGGTATTCTAGGATCTCTGGAGCATTTGGGATCAAATCAACAGAATTTCCAATGGTATGGGCTATAATTCCAAAGAGGCAACCCAACGGACAATCAAGATCCAAGATCCTGGAAATTCAGCTGGAAACAGTGCCTGAGGGAACTTTGATCTCTTGACGGAAACCTTTCTGCATGCTCTGGACCTGAACCAAGACATTGAACGGAGTTCCTAGTGTGCTAGTGTTTGCCTTTATTGACAAAATTAACTTTTGTTTTCTTGACTTTTGAATATGTAAATTCATGTGAATTTCAAACTTTGATAATTTGAATTTTTTATTGAATTTTGTTTATCAATCAAAGAAACATATTTTGTTGAAATATCACTTGTTTAATTTCCATTCAATTGTTTTCACTGTATTTTGTAGATTAGTTGGTGACCTAGTTATTCGGGACCTGGAGGTCAGCAGTTGACGCTGATATTACGAAATTTCCAAATTCAGCACTTCAGTAAGTTGTGTGTCTGTAAGTAGTTAGCGTTTTCACATCGCGTATCGCGTAAGTAAATAAAAGTGCTTGTATAGTCTAGCAACTAAACTCAGGTGTGTAGAGACCGGTATGTGGGGAAATTTCTAATTTCAGTTGTCTTTTATTGTTTGTCTGTATGATTTTGTGTTTTGTGACTTTTGATCATGGCAGAAGCTTTGAAAGAAATTATTGATTACGGAGTATCGTTAGGTTACAAAGAAGATACTCTTAGAGAATTTGTTAGACACCAGCAGGATATTAAGAGAGAAGAGCGGCTGGCAGAAAGAGAACGAGTAAAAAAGGAGCTAGAGTACCAGCGGATGAAGGAGAAACATGATAAACAGATGCAGCTGCAGCAGCTGACTCATCAACAACAAATGGAAATGCTTCATGAGAAAGAGAAGTTGAAAATAGCAGGGGTTGAGGAGGTAAGTGTTAAGTTCAAAGGTCCAAAAATCCCGGCTTTTGAGGATGGGAAGGATGAAATGGACAGCTATTTACGTAGATTTGAACGATATGCAGAGTTACAAAAGTGGCCAAAAACGTCGTGGGCTATGAGTCTAAGTGCACTCCTTAAAGGTAGGGCTCTCGATATTTATGCATTATTACCAGCAGATGATGCTTTAGATTATGACAAGCTATAAAGATAGCACTTCTTAAACGTTATGAGCTAACAGAGGATGGGTTTAAACACAAGTTCAAATCAGCAAAACCAGAAACGGGTGAGACATTTTCTGTTAGAATGAGTAGTTATTTGCTAAGGTGGCTGAAAATGGGCAAAATAGCAGAAACATTTGAGGCATTATTTGATTTAGTATTACGTGATCAGTTCTTGAATGCTTGTAACAGAGATTTGACCTTGTTTCTAAAAGAGAGAACACCAAAGAGTATACAGGAGATGGCACACTTAGCAGACCAGTATCGGGAGGCAAGAATGACCAACGCTGCGACCCTCAGCAATGTCAAAGGCAACGAATTTCAACACCCAGTAAAGTTTCGTTCTGGAAATCATAAAGACTTTTCAGGTGAGAAGAAAATACAAAATTCAAAGAAGTCATTTGTTCCAAAATCGGAAAGACGTTGTTTTAAATGGAATAGAATAGGGCACATTGCATCAGAATGCAGATCAAAACCGAAGATAGGAGCTGTAACAACGCAAGGACAGAAGGAAATCCATGATACTTCAGCTAGTACAGAGGAACATGCAGCAGAGGTAACATTTGTAAGCACAATGCCAACAGACACTGGAACCAATTCTTTGAATCTTGACACATCAACAAGAGTTTCATCATCATGCTACCAACTGCAACACAACATGCCAGTAACAGCAGGTTTTGTTGAAGGTAAGTCAGTTACGGTACTAAGAGACACAGGATGCAGCGGCATAGTGGTTCGAAGAAGTAAGATTGATGAAGCAAATTTGATTCAAGATAAGTTTCAAACATGTATTTTGGCAGATGGTTCATCTATTAGAGTACCAGTTGCTTCCGTCTTTGTTGACACGCCCTATATTACAGGAACATTTGAAGCATGGTGTATGGAGAAGCCAGCCTACGATCTTATCATCGGGAATGTAGCTAAGGTACGAGCACCTGGAGATCCTGATCCTGAATGGTCAGAGGCAAATGCTGTTGAAACACGTCAACAAGCAAAGGTAAAATTAAAACAGTATCCTCAACTCAAAGTTCCAGAAATACTTAAGGGAAACATCACTCTAGACGAGATTAAACTAGAACAACAGACCGATGACTCACTGCAGAGAATACGACAATGGGCAAGTTCCGGACAAGTGGTTGACAAACGGACTGCAACAATACGATGGTTCATGCTGAACGGATTTGTATATCGTGAATATCAAACCAAGACTGAATCAGGTAAGTCTTACAAACAGCTTGTAGTTCCAAGGAAATTCAGGGAAATTGTCATGAGATTGGCGCATGAGTCAATCATGTCTGGTCATTTGGCGATATCACGCACATCGTCAAGAATTCTTTCTGAATTCTACTGGCCTGGACTACAGACTGATGTCAAGATGTTTTGTCGTTCTTGTGACATCTGTCAAAGGACCATACAAAAAGGTAAGGTTTCTAAGTACCCCCTTCAGAAGATGCCACTTATTGATGTTCCTTTCAAGCGAGTTGCCGTAGACATCGTCGGACCTATGCATCCAATTACCGACAAAGGGAATAGGTATATTCTTACTTTGGTCGATTTTGCTACTAGATACTCTGAAGCTGTACCACTGCCATCCATTGAAACGGAGAGAGTTGCCGAGGCGCTCATAGACATATTTTCTAGAATTGGAGTTCCCGAGGAAATGTTGAGCGATATGGGTTCTCAATTTACATCATCAATTATGAGAGAGGTAAGTCGGCTACTATCGTTAAATCAACTCACTACTACCCCTTACCACCCAATGACAAACGGCTTGGTTGAGAGGTTTAATGGAACCCTCAAACAAATGTTAAAACGTATGTGCTCCGATCGTCCACGTGATTGGGATAAATATATTAATCCAGTATTGTTTGCTTACAGGGAAGTGCCGCAAGAAAGTTTGGGCTTTTCGCCTTTTGACTTAGTATATGGAAGACATGTAAGAGGGCCCATGGGCATTTTAAAAGAGCTTTGGACAAAAGAGATAGACGATGATCAGGTAAAGTCTACTTATCAGTATGTGTTGGATTTACGAGAGAGACTTGAGACAACGGCGGAGATAGCCAGAGAAAACTTGGAGAAGGCCTCTCAACGACAGGCGAGGTTCTACAACAGGTCAACTAGAGCAAGGAGTATGAAGGTAGGAGATAAAGTTTTAGTATTGCTACCCACAGATTCAAATAAGTTACTGATGCAATGGAAAGGACCTTTCAGCATCAAGAAGAAGTTAAACAAAGTTGACTACCAGATTGAAATGAAAGGTAAATTGAAGACGTTTCCTGTAAATATGCTTAAAAGGTACATTGACAGGAATGATGATTCAGGGGAACCAGATCAAGATGATGAAGCTCTAGTCACATCTGCTGTAATTGACTGTGCTGCGGAGGAGGAAGTTGACGAGTATGGCATAGCGAGTGCTAGGAATACCAAAGGTGTGGACATCAACCCAGAGTTATCACCTGAAGGACAGAAAAAAAGGTAACATCACTTTTGGATCAGTTTACTGATGTATTGTCTGATGATCCTGGCTATACCCATTTGATTGAACACGACATTAAGATAAACTCAAGTCAACCAATCAGAGTTAAATCTTATGCAATTCCATTTTCAATGAGGGAAATAGCTGATAAGGAAGTTGAGAAAATGTTGGAACTGAATGTCATTGAACCATCAGAAAGTCCATTTTCTTCTCCAGTTGTCCTTGTGAAGAAAAAAGATGACACTTTTCGTTTCTGTGTAGATTTTAGAGCTATCAATGCATGTTCACAGTTCGATGCAGAACCGATGCCAAATGCAGATGATATCTTTTCAAAGTTTGCCAACTACAAGGTATTTTCAAGGATCGACCTATCCAAAGGCTACTGGCAGGTTCCATTAACATCGTCAGCTAAACCCAAAACAGCGTTTCAGACATCCAAAGGCCTCTTCCAATTTCGAGTGATGCCCTTTGGTTTGGTGACAGCACCGGCGACGTTTTCCAGACTGATGCGTAAGTTGTTGTACGGAATGTCAAACATTGATAATTTTATCGATGATATCATTGTTTTTACAGAGGACTTAGATCAGCATTTGGAAGTTCTTCACGAACTCTTTACCAGACTGAGAAACGCCAATTTGACAGCAAAACCTCCCAAGTGTGCAATAGGGTACAAGAGTTTAGAGTGCTTAGGCCATATCGTAGGTGAGAACCAGTTAAAACCGAACCCAGACAAGGTAAGAGCAATTCAAGAGGCGCCAGCGCCAAGCACTAAACGTCAGTTAAGATCGTTTTTAGGACTCCTTAGTTTCTACAGGAAATTCATTCCCAATTTTTCATCTGTTGCACTACCCCTCACTGATCTGACAAAGAAGGGGTCGCCAAATAAAATTATTTGGAATCAACCTCAGGAAAAATCATTTCAAACACTTAAGGCAATGCTTTTGAAATCGCCTATTCTTAAACTGCCAGATTTATCAAAACAGTTCATTCTTCAGACTGACGCATCGGATAGGGGAATTGGAGCTGTACTGATGCAGTTTGATGAGCATAGTGGTTTGAAACTTCCGGTGGCGTATGCAAGTCGAAAATTGAAAGACAGTGAAAGTAAGTATTCTACAATCGAAAAAGAATGCTTGGCAATTGTTTGGGCAGTCCAAAAGTTCCATCTGTACCTGTATGGACGCGAGTTCCTCATTGAAACAGATCATCAGTCGTTGATTTATTTGAACAAAGCCAAAGTTATCAACGCTAGGATCATGAGGTGGGCTCTTGGTCTTCAATCATATAGATACCGAGTTATCGCCATTAGGGGAAGGGATAATCAAGGAGCAGATTATCTTAGTAGGCAGTGATGACTTAAAATGTCAATTTGTGTAAATACGAACTCTTGTTTTTAATCTTTCGTAAATGTGTGTTCTAAAGTATTAGCATACTTTTCCATAAGGGGGAGGTATTGTCACATTTACGGTGTTGTATTGATTATTTGTCTTGTTTGTATTTTAAATTTACTGTGATATTTGTTCTAACGTTGTTCCGTAGTTTCTTTCAGTTTTCCCATTCTGGACCCCTTCGAACACCCTCTTTGGTACCTCTACATTACCTGTATTTATATACCTGAGTTTAGGCTTCCGCCCTTCTTAAAAACCGGCTTTCGAGATATAACAGCACGAGTTCTGACTGACCAATTTTTACTGCCAAAGTTTTGTAAAGTTAAAGTTAAAGTACTGAGTATATTTTAAAGAGTTATTACAGACACTGACTTCTGAGGTGAGTAACATGTTTATTTACATTTTCTTCTCTGTTTTGTTAATTAAACGGTCCTGGGATAACTTTGTTATTTCAAAGTATTTTAATTTTAGTTTATTCGTTTGAATGTTCGTTCGTATGTATAGTTTGTATATTCTATAAATATCATAGTGAGTAGTGTTAATTGAAAGTATCGGCTCTAGTATTGTCGTATTTAGTTTCATTATGATTCTAAACAGTAAAGTAACTATGTAAGTAAAGTTACTGTGTGTAAGTGTAAGTTACATGTAAAATAATGTAATTGTTGTGTAAAAGCATTTAATACAAGTTCTGTAATGCAGCGCTGTGATGTTGACCCCATTATTATTCCATGTTCGTGTATGGTGGGTTATGTGGGTAATAACTTGTATGTAGCTTTGAGTATTCAACTGTGTAACTTAATGTGTTTACAATTGTTGTATTATGTAGGTCCCGTTGGACGTTCTACGTCGTTTTGTGTATGGTGTCAGTGTATGGTGCACAGAGTATGGTGTGATGTAGAAACTTACCGTTGTGTGGACAGACAAGAGCCAGAATACTATGTACAATAAGTTGTCTATATAAATGTGAAAACGTTTTTTTGAGTTTTTAATTATTTGGAGATTACTAGGGAAAGAACCCGCAACATCCCTAGAATTCCTGTATAAGTGATCTATTTTAAACCCAAACCATATACTTGACCCACCAATTCTATATACTATGACTGAACTAAGTTTGCAGAATTCCACAGCACAACTTTAAAGGATACTGATCTTCATAAAAGTTTCTACCTGAATGACCTACCGATCCCAGAAAGTTCAGCTTGCATGCATTTTAGTAAATAATGTTTAAATATTATGTAAGGGGGTATATATGCACGTTTCCGATTTCATACTTGTGATTTTTTAGACGTTGTTACTTACCTCTATAGTTTATTGTCGGCAAAGGCTTCAAAACGGAAGCTAAATGATAGAGCGAAGGAATTGTTCTGATCAAAATACAAACATTCTGGATCAAACTGACGAAAGCGATATGAACATTTTAACTCAAATTTATAAAGCATTTTGAAAATACTTCAAACTAAAAATATATATTAATTGTAAATCACACAAGTAAACAAACAACTCTCTTTTAGCATTACATATACATGGCACATTGTTTACATCCTGAAATGTATTCATTTTGACCTGGTAAAAATTGGACAACTCAAATAGGTTTCTTGACTTCTGATTGTCTACTTCAAATTAAATTACAAACTTTATGCCATGAAATAAAATCTACCAGGAAGTTAATTTTGACTCTGTACTGTCTCGGTACTTTGATTTTTATCTTTTCTTGAATTTCTAGGTGTACTTGGTATTTGGTGACCATTGGATTTTTACAAGAAGCACTGACTTCTACAGTTTACGTTTACTTGGACATTTAAACTTGTATCATGTAAGGAAGTACAGAATTGATAATACATAAGAAAACCTTTCTTGTGGTCATGGGTATGGTGTTAGGGGCACTAACATGTGAAAACCGGGAGCTGAGGGTAGGATTGTTTTCGTTTTCTTCAAGGACAATTTATATGTGCATTGAAATAAACGTTATTTCTGTTTTATTAAATGTTGAGCTAAATATTTATATCGTAAAGGAGCTACCGTACATAGCCCTAGTGTAAAAGTAAGCGTCAACTGTAAAAGTCAGGGCTCCTCGTAAAAGTCCATTATCCAATGTAGAAACATTGCTGACTGGCTGAGTTTAGATATTTGAACATTTTAGTATTATAGCAACAAATAACCATGTTTTACTTCAGCGATTCTTGATCTGAACGTATTGTTTACATACAATGTATTGGCCCAGTGTTAATTGAATTTAGTGGTACCCCGTCCTATGACAGAGTATTATTTGTACCTGTTGATTGGCTAGAAATTGAGGTCTCCACCCAGGCGCTTATCTCCTATTTCCGTCGCATATTGATTCCTCCGGATCAAACATGGGATTTGATTCTTCCGAAATGTCTTTTATTCTCTCTCTCCATCTTGTCCTACCGTTCACGGTAACTCTAACGATAGAGCGCTCGCTTCGTGAACGGGAGGTCGTGAGTTTGCATCTCGGCCACGACTGACCTAAGTCGATAAAAATGGGTAGCAACTGTTCCCTCGCCATGCATTCGACCCTTTGAAGTGAAAGTTGCGGGTCTTTTGGATGAAACCTCAAAAACCGAGGCCCCGTGTCAGCAGCAGGTGTTGGCACGATAAAGATTCTTCACTGCTCAATTGCCCTGATCGCCGAGTAAAGGTAAAAAATCTGAATCCCTTCACCGGCATACGGTGAAGTCTCCATATGAGTGAAAAATTCTCGAGAGGAACGTTAAACAATATACAATCAATCAATCAATCCATCTTGTCCTTATAAGCGACATGCTTTTTAAGATTGCTTAAAGTTATTCGAAGATACAGTCCCTGAAACGTTCTACTTTCCTATTTTTCCGTTCGCTCACCGTTCGTTCAGAGATCGTTCACTGTTCGTTCAGAGTGCGTTCACCGTTCGCTCTTCGTTCACGATATTGCGTTCACCGTTCACCGTGCGCTCGCGTTCATCGTTCACAAAACGTTCACCGTTCGCTCTTCGTTCCGTTAACTTTGCATTCACCTTGCGTTCACCGTTCACTTCTCGTTCACTCCTCATTGTCATTTGGAACTCCGAAGTGAAAGGATTCATCTTTTTGATGGAAAGGATTTACATGTTTTTTTTTTAATTAAATAACTCAGACATCGTGTTTGAAGAATAATTATTCTATTGCAAAAATTATCTATGATATTTATTTTTCTAATATTTTAACTCAGTTGTTACTTATTTCATGAATTTTCCCTGGAAAATAAAAAAAAAGTTAAGTACCTACATGTATGTAAAACGATGCTAAAATATACAAATCCACAAATGCTTCACGCACGTCATCAATTTGTTGTAATTTCAAAGAGGACAAATTATTAATGGATGTATAATAATTAATCCAAGTTTTTTACAGGACAAGAATACATAACAAAAAATTATTTCTACAGTAACACGTATTTTAACTACATGTAGGTTTGAGAATTATGAACAGTACTGTTAATTAAATATATTTGAAGCTTATTAAACTGATGGTGTGGTTTTAAATTTTGAAAAACCAACTGTTTAAAATAGTCTATTATTAGAGAAGGAAAATTCCTTCCTTCATCGTACCTAAACATAATGCTTAAATATATGTTTGC